ACCCATACTGGTCCGTGGCCTGTTAGGAACGAGGCCACACAGCAGGAGGTGAACAGCAGGCAAGCGAGCATTACCACTTCTGCTCCACCTCCTGTCAGATCAGCAGCAGCATTAGATTCTCATAGGAACACAAACCCGGTTTTGAAACTGTGCGGGTGAGGGACCTAGGCTGCACACTCCTTATGAGAATCCAATGATCTGAAGTGGAACAGTTTCATCCTGAAATCATCCCTCACCATCGCTCTCCATGGAAAAACTGTCTTCCACAAAACCAGTGCCTGGTGCCAGAAAGGTTGGGGATCACTGCTCTAGACAGAATGTCAAGCTACAAACGGCGAACATATGCTGTTTTAGGTTAAGAATGTTGTGCTCACATCCCAGTAGATTTCTCTGGAATCTTTTAAAAAAAAAATCTGAAAAGCACAAAGTCAGTTAATTTGGAAAGTAATCACATATAGTATTTGTTTTATCATTAACTTACTATTCCAAGAATCTACAGCCCAGTAACATAAAAGTTGTAAATTACTAATCTTCCCAGGAATTTTCTAAGAACTCATTAAATTAATCGCATTGTGAACTCTTCCATATGTAGTATGAGATGACAGTTTACCTCCCACGACTCTGAATTTCCTCACCTCAGTGCCATAGCCTTGCTGTTTACACACACCTTACTCAACCTTGATCAAGCCTTCACAATGAAAACCCACCTTATACTAGGCCCAAATCTCCTAAGAATCCCAACTTCTCCATTCTCATTCCAAGACTATTAAGACTCTGTCAAGGCAGTTATTTTCCTTATGACAATAAGAATAAACTCCGTTTTAATAAACAACAGATTGTTTGGTGATATTTTTGAACAGTGAGACTTCAATACTATTCATACTATTAATATTCCAGTTCTTCTAATTTAGTAGATAGTCAAAGGAAGCATATCCACAAAGCCACAGCCTTCTATCTTCATTTTTGTCACTTTGTGCAAAGCATTTGTCTTGCTTCATTCTCTTTGGTAACTAATCAAGGGCTTTAAATATCATTTCCCCCAATCTTTCTTTCCATAGATAATCACACACTCACACAACTGCTGAATAAGTGTCAGAGGCCTCTTTGATTAGGTCATTATGCATATCCATTCTTTCTTTCCTATAAATAAAATTCCATTAACTATGGAATACAGAATCTAAAAATACATTCACTGATAACACTCCTAGCATAAATGAACTAGAAGTATATAGCTGTAAGAAAAGATATTAAAAATTCAAACAGGAAAACACCAGGAGGCTATTACCATCCATATTGCCTTAGTACATTTTACTATTTGAGAGTCGTGATTCTGAAGGCTACTATGTGGAATTAGATGTATCAGTTTATCCTGGACTCTCTTTTCAGTCATCCACCATAGGTATAACTCTCCCAATGTACAGAGTAGTTTTAATTAATATTTATTTGTAGTATAAGCAAAATCAGCTCATGATGGAATAACCAGAACTAGAGTATCGTCATAAAAATTAAACAGCTTCTAACTAATAAGTGAGAATGTGTGAAAACCTAGTGAAACCCTCTAAATAGAGAGAAAATGAAGAAAAACAATGTTAGAGCAGATGAGTTTAAAACCCACATTTTATCCCAGTGAAAGAGACAATATAAGAATGCCCTCAATTAAACAAAGCATCTCTTTATTTATCAATTTATTTGTGATTATTCAGTTGCCACCTATGTTTTACCATATAAGCGTCTTTAAAATATATCATAAAAGAGGTAGAGGGAATAAAGTGGCTAGAACATATATAATTATTGCAATTGCTATCTTCGAACTTCTAGTTTAAGCATGCGTTCAAATAACAGAACAATAATTACCTAGTACTTTACTATCATACTCTAATCACAAATTCCCTGCAAAACTTAGAGGCCAAAAATGGAAGATGAAATAAAATCTTTTGAAAACAGCTACTGTGCTCCATCCCAAAGGATAATTCTTCTTTCATTAACACCTTTCAAGTTCAATCACCTTATTTTTCCAACCTTTCCAAGCTCTATCCTAGGAAGCCTAAAAATTAGGAAAATAGTAATCAGTCCCCTAATGGGATAATTAATGAAAATTAAAATATTTTATTTGAGTTTGAGGATACCAAAACCTATAACTTTCCATAAATGTACCTTAATTTCTTATCAACACTTACCTTAAGTCATTCACATAATGTATTTATGTTTTAAATTTTTATGAATACCTATATAAACCTAGTGAATAATCAAAGATTATGGAGAAAGGTAACATATTTGATGCTGCTGCTGCTGCTGTTACTGCAGCTGTGATTTAAAAAAAATACTTTCCACAACCTAAGTGCTCATTAATAAGGGAATTATTAGCCAGGGGGGTAGCTCACACCTATAATGCCAGCACTTTGGGAGGCCAAGGTGAGAGGATCATTCAAGGCCAGGAGTGCAAGACCAGTCTAGGCAACATGGCAGGACCCTGTCTCTACAAACAATGCAAAATGCCAAGCATCATTATACATACCTGTAGTACAAGCTTCTTGGAAGCAGGAAGATCACCTGAGCCCAGGAGTTCAAGGCTGCAGTGAGCTATGATCACACCACTGCACTGCAGCCTGGGCAACAGGGCAAGACTCTGTCTCTTAAAAAAAGGGTTGGGGTGGGGGGATTATTGAATTAAAATATAGAACACATATAACTGTAAAAAGAAATGAGACCCCCTTTTGGGAGACTTTGGGAGGCCAATGTGGGCAGATCACAAGGTCAGGAGATCAAGACCATCCTGGCCAACATGGTGAAACCCTGTCTCTACTAAAATACAAAAAATTAGCTGGGCATGGTGGTGGTAGTCCCGGCTACCCTGGATGCTAAGGCAGAGGAATTGCTTCATCCCGGGCAGCGGAGGTTGCAGTGAGCTGAGATCGCGCCACTGCACTCCAGTTGGGTAACAGAGCAAGACTCTGTCTCAAAAAAACAAAAGAAATGAGACTAATCTCTACATATTATTATTCAGTGAGCTCCAGAATATATTAAGTTTTTATAAAGAGTGGCGGAGAAATTATGTATAGTATGTTATGATTAATAGAAGGATAAAAATATATACACATATTTGCTAATAATAAATTAAGGATTAAATCATAAATAAATGTTTTAAATGAATCCTTGGAATGAGGAAATGAAGTTAAGGAGATAGAGAAAGGAGCTAAATCTTTCAATACTTTGTTTTATAGATTTTAGTCTGGAATCACATTTATAAATATCTTACATAATTATAAAATTAAACTACATTTCATAAAAAGATAGCTCGAAAAATAAAAGAAATATAAATGTGCATCCAGTTTGTGGCAAAACCACACAAAGATGAACTACTTCAAATAAACCTAAAATACAATTTACGTCATCAGTGAGAAGGGCCCTAAGGACAAAAATTATGCAAAATTTAAAAAAACTTATACTTTCTTGATAATAACTTGTTGCTGGCATTGTTGGTATTGTTTATTCTGAAATTACTGTATGTATATTGTGGCATAAAGGAAATGGGTAACCATATTAATGTTATTAGAAAGCCAGGTTTTTATCATAAAAACAAAAAAAATCAAAGACAACCCAGTTGCCTGACTTTAAATTGCATGTATCAGGATAAATTTAGTTTATCTTTTTAAAAAATCTATTTCTAGCTGTGTTTTTATAGAGCTAGAAATAATTACCAACCCAATAGTAATGATCACCCCAAGTGTCCAGATGACATGTTCTTGAAATAGACCACTAACTGGAACCAGGGCTTCTTGGACAAATGGCTAATTTTAAATATGAGGCAGGACATGGACAAGATGACCTGCAACAATGTAGCTGAAGTGCGGACACTGATATTCACAGGATCATATGAAGAGCACTCAAAAGAAATAGGTTCTCTCTGGCCGAGGATAGTTCAATTTAGCACCAATAAGAATAACTACAATGAATTGAAATACAAATTATGACTTCATAACAAGAAAAAAAATCTCCTTGGGTTACCTTTGGAGAATACTGGGGAACCAACTCATTATTTGACAACTGATAAATATGGGGAAAAACTAAAATACTTTTCCGCCTGTATTGTATGAACTGAATCTCATGGCAACAATACCAGTTAATAAGAGGAGGTTTCTCCTTATAAGAATATTTTAATTAATAAAGAAATATTTATCAAATAATAAGATTATCATTTTTCAGTCATTAATGAATTAATGAGTCAAGAGCTATATTATTCAATATGGTAATCATTAGCCACGTGAGACTATTTAAATTAAAAGTAATTGCAAGTTTTTAAGTTAAAAGTGAATTTCTCAGCCACACTGGCCACACTTCAAGTGCTTAGTAGCCACATGTGGCTAGTGACTACCATATTAGATAGAGCAGATATAGAATACTTCCATCACCATAGAAATTTCTATTAGTGAGTGCTGCTCTAGAGAATCTAGAGTAGATGATGAACTTCAATTGCTGCCAAACTTTGAGTGATAAAAGTACATAACAGCTTCTTGTACTAAAAAAAAAAAAAAATCAAACCTGAATAAACTTAAGCCTCTGGATCTAACTACCAATTTACAAGAAAGACTAGGGACAGAGGAATGTCTTATACAATGCCATGGGGATCCAGTCAGCAAATTCCAGATTGTAACACATTATATAAGACACAATACAGAGCAAAAATGATACGGTTTTATCAACAAAAAAATTGCAAGAAAAAAGTCATATTCACTAAATCTATTTTTAAAACTAAAAATGATTTAATTTTTTAAAAGAAAAAAATTGATAGAGGAGGAATTTACAATTCCATGAGACTTTAGAAACATATCAAATAATTACAATTTATAGCTCTTGTTAAAAGCCTGTTTCAAACTATAAGATAATGACAAATCTTAAAATAATTATGGAAATGTAATTAAATAATTGATGATTTTAAAAACTATTGGTAATTTAGATCAGGCATAATCATGATATTATGAGGATATTTTAAGCATCCTTACCTTTTGGGTACTTATTAAAATATTTGCAGAGGAAATGATACAATGCTTGGACTTTGCTTCAAAACGACTTAGATGTGAGACCTTGCAGAAGTAATAAATGAAACAAGATTAGTTATGACTTACTTGTTGGAGCTACATAAAGCGACATGGAAATTTATTATATTATTCTTTATACTTCATATATGCTTGACATTTTCTATAGTAAATAAAATTTTCATTGTATTAACCAATTACAATCCATTGTCATATAAGTCTGTTAATGGCAGATGAACTAGCAGTAATATTTAATCATTCTTTATGTGTGATGAAACAATGTATATCTCAAATCTTGGTAAAGCTCATTACAACACAAACATCCATTGTAGAATGCTTAAGTTTTATTTAAGATTTTTTTTGTCCTAACAACAAATTAAAATGTTCATCTTAATTAGAATAGTCTTCATTTCAAAGGAAAAAAGTCTGACATTACTCTTAATATGACACCAGTAGGGGGAGATAGATGCTGGATTTCCTCTGGGAATATTTTTTTAAGAAATAATCTATGTTTAATCCGATAGTCTGAATAATTTCAGGGGGAATGACACTCCCCTGCTGTGTTTTCAATAAGAAGTATGTCTCCATGCTTAATTTTCCAGCCTTTCATTTCCAAAAAAGGAATTCTTTGCTCTGAATAATTACAATCTCTTTCCCATTTGAAATATGTGGTCAAATTAGAATATCACTGTCCAAATTGTTCCTCTGCTTCTCTCTTATCCTAGCTCCTTAATGGACTTTCTTAAAAAAAAAATTCAAGTATTAACCCCCCAAAAATTAACCCCTCATAATCTCCCAGGAATAATACAAATTTAGCATTTGACTTAAGCTTAAATACCATTCATTTATACAACTATTTTTTAAATGTCTACCATGTGCAGGGTACTATTGTCAGGGCTACAGTTATAATAAAGATAAGAATTAGTTCCTAACCTCAAGTAGCTTACAGTTTATTAAAGAACATACGTAAAGGAGGCGGGGAGGAGAGGAGGGGAGAGGAGATACTCGGGTAGTATGGGAACCCCTGGAAGGGCAGCTAACCCATCCCTGGAGAAAGACTTCCTAAGAAGAATATACAACTATGTCTTTAATTTATTCTTTAATTTGCTTACTCAACATATACTCATTTTATCCACTCAAACATATATTGAGCACCTTTTTTGAACAAGATATGGTGTTCTGTTGATTCAAATCACCATGAAGTCTTCTTGCTGAAGATACATATCTGATAGAGTGTGCCTATCTATAATGATGAACTCTCTTAAGCACTTTTTTATTTTGTAAAGTTGGCATTTTCAATATAACTTTCTCTTTTCACTGGAAAACACCAACAATATTCAAATAGTACTTCAATGTATTTTGTACTCATTTTTGAAAAATATTTTATGTTATATCCCTACTTATATGAAGGTAAACAGAAGCAAGTTACACTTTTCCCTTAATGCTTACAGAACTTCTTATTCTCTTTAACCAATTTGTTCAAAATATTTTTGTTGTCAAGACCATAACACCACAGAAGAGACTTCTCTTATGGTGCTCCCACTCCACTAAGCCTGGTTCCTTTACATGGGCCTCTCAGGGCCAGTAAGGGGAAAATTCCTCTTCCCGGACTTACACCTCGGGTTATAGCTTTCATCTCTTCCTGGTCTTCCCAAGTGTCATCCCCTCCTCCACTCCAGCCACAGTCTAACACATCCAGTTAGCTAAATGTAAACATAAACTTTCTGTCTTATGAGATCAGTTATGGAATCGCCCCAACTGGGCAACAGTCTTTGGTATTTAAAAAGTTCCACAAGGGGCTCCCTTGTACTACTTTGGATTTATCACAAAGAGGCTCCACTTTTTAGAATTGCAACCTAGTCTTACGTCCCTCCTTGCCCAGGTCTAGGCTGATACCCACTCTGACATTCCAGGGTGTGTAAGGAATCTTTAACTGCATGACCCCAGACCTTTTATTTCACTTCGGGTCAGAAGAGTGGCAGAGCAACTGGATGCCTCCTCAGCCACCACCTAAGTTGGCATCTCCCGGAGGTGTCCTTTCAAGAAGTCTCTGATAAGTCTTTAGTTTGCTTCCAGGCATTAAGCTTCATATTGAGTTTTCTTTTTTCCAAAATGCTTTATGGATTCTGTTTTCGCCAGGCGCCTCTTCCTGTTTTCTGTTTATAAACCACTCTTGCTCTGGAGGTACTGCAGCCCTTCCACTGTGGATTATCTCTATCAAATTCTTTCATGCTCCATCCTCTCCAAATGTCACATATATGCCCTGTTATTGTCCCACAGTTCTGTCCTCTGAACTCCAGACCTGGAGGATACCAACTCTGAAACACAGCCTCTGACTTACATCCCAGAGAATACTTCCCCTGCAAAGTTCCAGTAGTTACCTCATGATGAAAGGGGGTGGCTTTCTCTCCCAAAGACCAAGCCCCTGACCTTTCCCCTTTCTTCCCTCTGACTGTTCGTCATACCCAGAGCATCTACTGCGAGTTGCATGCACAGTTTTCTCAAGTGGACCACTATTTTTACTACAATAAAAAGGACTTTTAGGATAAAAACTGTCCTACAATGATGAGTGGAGTTCAAGGCTATATTGTCCTGTTACTTGGCTTTTTGAGGCTTGGGCATCAGTCTCCTCCAAGTCCTCTCTGGGTTAATGTTATTTCTTATCACAGGCAACTCTCCTAGCCGCAACCCTGAGGGCATCTATCTTCACTGGTTTCTTTTATTTTCACTTACTGCTGCAGGTTGAATTCTCAGTCCACTCCCTGGAACTACTGGGTCCTTTTCTGTGTGGGCCTTAAAGTCACTTGCTCAGCTCCTATCATAATTGCCCTTTGATCATGTGTCCCCAGCATCTCAGGAGCATCCCATATTTATTGGCTCATTCTTAGTTACTCTGACATTCTTTTCTCTTCTTTTCAATAGAAGTCTTCCTTTTAATTCCCCAGGATATTCTTCACTTCATATCAATTCATGGTGGTGCCTCTTTTCCCCCCACTTCTCTCTCTCTCCCTCTTCATCCCTCCCCCTCTGAAATTTTATTTTTTCTAAATCTCCAAGCTTATTTGCAACTCTTCTGCCCATATCCCTAACCTCTTAGGTGAAAAAATCATTATCTTGAGGGTCAAACCAGGCACATTCGTTTGGTGAACTTTCAACCATCCCTCTCTCTGGAATTTTGATCAGGGATCTGAATGTCCTGACATTGTTGTTTTGAGCTTAATTACATGTGCACTTACAAGATTCTGTTTCCACTTTATCATATCTAGGTTATAAATCACAATGTTTTGATGGGAGGCATATTTTGATGAACTTTATATTATCTTATTTTACTTAGAATCTCTTTGCTATATTCTTATCGCTGTGATCTGAGTACCTGATGTAAAAAATAGTGCAGTAGTGTATGTTAATTTGGAATGGATAATGAGAAAAAAAGCCTGGAGTGAATTACCTAAAGGGTTAAGTCAGCTATCTGACCTAGGTTGCACAACAGAACCACCTGTGAAAACTTCATAAAATAAAAAAGAACTGCCTCTTCCTCCCCCAAGCAATTTTGAATCAAGAACTTCATGTGACACTCAGGACTACTCATCTACATGGTTCTTGAGATAGTGACATCTACAGCCACAAGGAAGATACATACAGTGCCTGAAACTTCATCTCTGTGAACTAATATAAGTGATAAACTTGGCCTTCTGTGATTTTACCTTGCCTCTTTGTTTCTCTGCAAAGAACCACACTTCATATGGTTTCCCTACTCCTCAGAGTCCCGTCTGGATGTTCTAAAGTAACAACAAAAATCATTCTTTAGATGGACTGATATGGTTTATGATGGCTATGTCCCCACCCAAATCTCATCTTGAATTGTATTTCCCATAATCCCCACGTGTCAGGGAAGGGATCCAGAGGGAAGTAACTTAGTCATAGGGGTGGTTACTCTCATGCTGGTCATGCTATTCTCATGATGGTGAGTGGGCTCTCATGAGATCTGAAGGTTTTATAGGGGACTTCCCCCTTCACTCAGCACTCAGTCTCTCTACTGTCATCCTGTGAAGAGGTGCCTCTGCCATGATTGTAACTTTCCTGAAGCCTCCCCAGCCATGCAGAAATGTGAGTCAATTAAATATCTTTCTTTTATAAACTATCCATTCTTAAGCAGTTCTTTATAGCAGTGAAAGAACAGACTAATACAGTAAATTGGTACCACAGATAGTGGGGTGCTACTATAAAGATACCCAAAAATGTGAAAGTAACTTTGGAACTGGGTAAAAGGCAAAGGATGGAACAGTTTGGAGGGCTCAGAAGAAGACAGAAAAATGAGGGAAAACTGGGAACTTCCTAGAGATTTGGAGGGCTCAGAAGATAGGAGGATGTGGTAAAGTTTGGAACTTCCTAGAGACTTGTTGAATGGCTTTAACCAAAATGCTGGCAGTGATATGGACAATAAAGTTCAGGCTGAGGTAGTCTCAGATGGAGATGAGGAACTTGTTGGAAATTGAAGCTAAAGTAACTCTTGTTATGCTTTAGCAAAGAGATTGGCAGCATTTTGTCCCTGCCCTAGGGGTCTGTGGAAATTTGAAATTGAGAGAGACCATTTAGGGTATCTGGAAGAAAAAAATTTTTAAGTGGCAAAGCATTTAAGAGGAAGCAGAGTATGAACGTTTGGAAAATTTGCAGTCTAACGATGCAATAGAAAAGAAAAACCCATTTTCTGGGGAGAAATTAAAGCCACCTGTAGCAATTTGCATACGTAACAAAGAACTGAATGTTAATCAGCAAGACAATGGGGGAAATGTCTCCAGGGAATGTCAGAGACCTCCATGGCAACCCCTCCCATCACAGGCCCAGAGGCCTAGGAGGAAAAAATGGTTCCATGGGCCAAACCCCAAGCTCCTCCGCTGAGTGCAGCCTAAGGACTTGATGCCTTGCATCCCAGCTGCTTCAGTACAAGACATGGCTAAAAAGGCCAAGGTATAGCTCAGACCATGGCTTCAGAAGGTGCAAGCCCCAAGCCTTGGCAGCTTCCACATGGTGTTGAGTCTGCAGGTACACAGAAGTCAAGAATTGAGATTTTAGAATCTCCACCTAGATTTCAGAAGATGTAAGGAAACACCTGGGTATCCACGCAAAAGTTTGCTGCAGGGATAGAGCCCTCATGGAGAACATCTGCAAGAGCAGTGGGGAAAGGAAATGTGAGGTTGGAGCCCACACACACAGTCCCCACTGGGCCACTGCCTATGGGAGCTGTGAGAAGAGGGACAACATCCTCCACAACCCAGAATGATAGATCCACAAACAGCTTGTGCCAGGTACCTGGAAAAGCCACAGATACTCATCACCAGCTATGAAAGCAGCAGGAAGAAGGGCTGTACCAGGAAAATCCACAGGAGCAGATCTGCCCAAGGCCATGGAGCCCACCTCTTGCATCAGCATGCCCTAGATATGAGACATGGAGTCAGAAGAGACCATTTTGAAAGTTTAAGACTTAAAGCCTGCCCTGTTGGATTTTAGACTTGCATGGGACCTATAACACCTTTGTTTTGAACAATTTCTCCCATTTGGAATGGGTGTATTTACCCAATGCCTATACCCCTTTGTATCTAGGAAGTAACTAACTTGCTCTTAATTTTACGGGCTCATAGGTGGAAGTGACTTGCCTTCCTTAGATGAGACTTTGGACTTGGACTTTTGAGTTAATGCTGGAATGAGTTAAGACTTTGGGGGACTATTGGAAAGGCATGATTGTGTTTTGAAATGTGAGGACATGAGATTTTGGAGGAGCCAGGGGCAGAATGATATGGTTTGGCTGTGTCCCCCCCAAATGTCATCTTGAATTGTAGTTCCCATAATTCCCATGTGTCATGGGAGGGAACCGCCATGTCACAGGAGGGACGCAGTGGGAGATAACTTAACCATGGGAGTGGTTACCAACATGATGCTCATGCTGTTCTCATGATAGTGAGTGAGTTCTCACAAGATCTGATGGTTTTATAAGGGGCTTCCCCCTTCGCTCAGCACTAATTTTTTTTCCTGTCAAAATGGACCTTCCACCATAATTGTAAGTTTCCTGAGGCCTTCCCAGCCATGTGGAACTGAATCAGTTAAACCTCTTTTCTTCCTTTATAAATTACCCAGTCTTGGGTATTTCTTCATAGCAACATGAGGACAGACTAGTACATGGACATATGAGTAAACAACCCAAAACCCTTTCCAAAAGAAAAGAAACAGTGGAGGTATTTTGTCATGCTAATTTATCTGCAATGAGGTATGAGAATTTCTGCACTCAGGATGGCCCTTTGATTTATTTATCATTTAATACTCTTCATAACATGGGGACATCTGAACCAGGATTTAAAAAAAGTATTTGGAGTAAAGAGTGTTTAGAAAGAATGGAAACAAAGTTACCAAAGATCTTACTTGCTCATACATTTATTGAATGACCACTTCCTGTCTACTGAATGCCAGATACTGTTAGTCATTGACATTCTCTACAATCAAATTTAGTAGCCCTACTCACAGGTTTAAATGAAATACTGGTCGGCTACTTGTTTGTTATTTTCTTCCCTCTTTTTTTTCCTGTCTCCATTATTAAGCACAATTATGGAATAAAAGAGGTTTTCAATACCCATTTTTAGATTGCATTCTAGCCTGGGCAATAAAGCAACATCCCATTCTCTCTCCCTCTTCCTCTTCCTCTTTCTTCCTTTCCTTCATTCTTTTTTCTTTCTTTCTTTCTCTCTTTCTTTCTTCTTTCTTTCTTTTCCTTTTTCTCCAAAAACAAACAAACAAACAAAAAATTTAGTAGCCCCTAATTCATTTTTAAGAGCTTGAGTTCATAAGAGAAAAGGAGAGGGGGAAGCTAGTTTCTTTATGTTTTTGTCAATCCCATTCTCTCTTTATTCTGTACCTTACCATCGCCATTTTATTTTTAATTCTTTTCTGTTTCCTTTCATGTCATATATGCAGTGAGCAAGAGGGGAAGAATACTTTTCCTTCTCTGCTAAGAAATATCAAGGGATCTTGAATAATTTTGCCTCTGATATGTGTTATCTGATCTTGTTCTACTTCTGTCTTTACTGTTGGATTACTGTCTGTCAGACACTGCTGATGACTTCTAAGTAATTCATTTGTCCCATAAGTGGGACAAATTATTCCCTAAAATACTTGAGAAAGCATATAGTACAGGAGCCTAGAAAAACAAACTTGGTTCAATTCTAACCTCCTGTAACCATCTACATGCCCTGAGGGAAGCCATTGATACCTGAGACTCCATTTGCTCCTCTGTATAAAGGACATGAAGACCTAATTGTATTAGTCCCTTATCACACTGCTGATAAAGACATACCTGAGACTGAGCAATTTACAAAAGAAAGAGGTTTAATTGGACTTACACTTCCACATGGCTGGGGAAGCCTAGCAATCATGGCAGAAGGCAAGGAGGAGTAAGTCCTATCTTACATGGATGGCAGCAGGCAAAGAGAAAATGAGGAAGAGGCAAAAGCTGAAACCCTGGGTAAAACCATCTTCAACCATCTTCACGACCAGGAGAATAGTATATGGGCAATTGGCCCCATGATTCAATTATCTCCCATGAGGTCCCTCCTACAACATGTGGAAATTATGGGAGTGCAATTCAAGATGAGATATGGGTGGAGACACAGAGCCAAACCATATCACTGCATAAAGGGTGATGAGTATTACAAGCAATGTCCTTTAAGTGCCTAGCATAGTTCCTATCTCACAGTAGATGGAGATATTATTATTCCTTACTGTGATGGTTAATGATGAGTGTCAACTTGATTGGATTGAAGGATACAAAGTATTGATGCTCCGCGTATCTGTGAGGGTGTTGCCAAAGGAGATTAACACTTGAGTCAGTGGGCTGGGAAAGGCAGACCCACCCTTAATCTGGGTTGGTACAATCTAATCAGCTGCCAGCATGGCTAGAGTATAAAGCAGGCAGAAAAACGTGAAAAGAAAGCCTGGCCTAGCCTCCCATTCTACAGCTTTCTCTGGTACTGAATGCTTCCTGACCTTGAACATCAGACTCCAAGTTCTTTAGTTTTGGAACTTGGACTGGCTTTCCTTGTTCCTCAGCCTGCAGACAGCCTATTGTGGGACCTTGTGATCGTGTGAGTTAATGCTTAATAAACTCATATATATATATATATATATATGTATATGTATAGGGAGTTTATGGAAGACTCCTATATAACCAGCACTAACTGCCATTAAGCTTTAAAAGTAAAAGAATTTTGTCAGTAAATATATTAATGTCTTACAGATAAGTACTTCAAATAATCCATTACACAGTCTTACCACTCAATATCATACTATCAAAGAGCTCTTATCAAGCAAGAGGACATGTCATGTGAAAGACACAAGATACATTGAACCATATTACATGAGTATCCTGTTTTGTTTTTTTTTTTTTTTTTGAGACGTAGTTTCGCTCTTGTTTCCCAGGCTGGAGTGCAATGGCGCGATCTCGGCTCACCGCAACCTCCACCTCCTGGGTTCAGGCAATTCTCCTGCCTCAGCCTCCTGTGTAGCTGGGATTACAGGCACGCACCACCATGCCCAGCTAAGTTTTTTATCTTTAGTAGAGACGGGGTTTCACCATGTTGACCAGGATGGTCTCGATATCTTGACCTCGTGATCCCCCTGCCTCGGCCTCCCAAAGTGCTGGGATTACATCCTGTTTTGTTTTTAACCACTGGACAATTTGTTAGACAGATTTTTTTTTTCTGTTCTTACTTGCCATTGTTCCAGGAAAAGGAAAGAAGAAAGTCTCTTCCTTTGAATGTTAAAGATTTAATTGAAATGAATTTTGAAAGAAAGCATGGAGAAAACATCACTTACCTTCTCAAACTCCATTTTGTACACCCCAGTTGATTGAGTAGTCCTTCGCCACCCTCATCAACAGATCACAGACACACAGCTAGGAGAGAAGAATTCTTCTTTAATAGTAGATCTGCCTGAGTACTAAATAAATAAATAAATAAAGGAAATGTTCTAAGTGACTTTCATCCATTTATTTCCAAAGTAAATAATCCCACATAAATGGATAGGGAAAAAAATTAGCCTACATTCTTTTACTTAACAACATGGTTCCAGATATAGTCTTTGGTTTTATTTTCATTACAAGTTGTGTTCTTAACATATCACAGTGCATTTCAAGGAAAGCATTCATTTGTCAGTTTCAAATATTAATGTCTCTTATGAAACTTATGTTTCTGTCTTTTCTAGCTGTCAGAGTTTCTGTTTCCTGAAGGTCTTCTCTAGCAACAAATCCCAAAATTATTTAAGAACATAAAGATGGCTCTTGATACAAATTTTTTGTATTTTATTGTATGTTAGATCTGCAAAGAGGTTCTTATCCCTATACTCGCAGTATAGAGTTTCTCTCTACTGAGAGAAACTCTTTCTGATGGAGGCCTTGCGTCTTCTTTTTTTTTGAGACATTCTCACTCTGTTGCCCAGGCTGGACTGCAGTGGCGTGATCTTGACTCGCTGCAATCTCTGCCTCCTGGGTTGAAGCTATTATCCTGCCTCAGCCTCCTAAGTGGCTGTGATTACAGGCATGCACCACCACGCCTGGCCAGTTTTTTTGTATTTTTAGTAGAGATGGGGTTTCACCATGTTGGCCAGGCTGGTCTCAAACTCCTGACCTTGTGATCTTCCCACTTCAGCCTCCCATCCTTGAGTTTTCTAAAGTGGATCACTTTATGATATTGTTTGTTATTAATAGTAATTATCAGAAAGCTGAGTGCAGTGCTAACAACTGTAATCCCAGCACTTTGGGAGGCTAAGGTAGGTTGATCATCTGAGGTTAGGAGTTAGAGACCAGCCTGGCCAACATGACAAAACCTCATCTCTACTAAAAATACAAAAATTAGCCAGGCATGGTGTCAGGCACCTGTAATCCCAGCTATTTGGGAGACTGAGGCAGGAGAATTGCTTGAACCTGGAAGGCAGAGATTGCAATGAACTAAGATTGTGCCATTGCACTCCAGCCTGGGCAACAAGAGTGAAACTCCATCTCAAAAACAAAAATCGTAATGATCACAAAGATAACACCATGTAAAGAGCACCTGTAGGGCTAAGTATGTTACATATTAGTTTATTTAATCCTCCAAACATCCTGTAAAATAAGTTTTCATTTCTGGACGGCATAAGAGAGGCTTTCAAGGGATTAAGGGGCTGCAAGTCACAATTTGGTAAAATCTGGAACGAGTAAAATCTACATCTTTCTCGGACTGCAAAACATATTCTTTATGCAGTACTAACCAGAATAAGAAGAAAAATGTGTAAATAAATTATGGCCACCTGACAGTTTTAGAACCTAAGCAACTGATAAATGCAGCCTACCTGTAATGAATCAAGAATGAAGTCTAGGGATTGGATCCACGCAGCCCCAGACATCCAATCCAGAGCTACATTTGGGTTAACATTCATAATGCTTTGATTTTCATTCAAAATAATTGCTAACATTTAAAACTATGCAGAATTCACATAAAAAGCAGGACTGAGGCCTGGTGCAGTGGCTCAAGCCTGTAATCCCAGCACTTTGGGAGGCTGAGGCGGGTGGATCACGAGGTCAAGAGATCGAGACCATCCTGGTCAACATGGTGAAACCCCGTCTCTACCAAAAATGCAAAAAATTAGCTGGGCATGGTGGTGCGTGCCTGTAATCCCAGCTACTTAGGAGGCTGAGGTAGGAGAATTGCCTGAACCCAGGAGGAGGAGGTTGCGGTGAGCCAGGATCGCACCATTGCACTCCAGCCTGGGTAACCAGCGAAACTCCGTCTGGGATGGGGGGGCGGAAAGCAGGACTGAGAACTTCCAGATTATCTGGCAACAACTTGGGCCTCCACATTCCCACATGGTAGCAATAAGTGAAGCAGAGTAGCAGATGCCCCTTCGGACAGGACACTCCTCCATGCACTGCAGCCTACTCTCTGCCAGCTCAGCTTGTGTGCCTGAACCCTCAGGGCTTTCAAGTTTGTGATCCTCCTTTTCTCCATGGCATCCAATGTAGGCAAATTAGAAGGGGAAAATGTTCTCAACTTCAAAAATATACAGTGTGTCAAAAACTATAGGAAAGAATGTAACTTGTACCTTTTCCTCAATGGTTTCTTCTTGGGGATGACCCAGAGATTGTGAGGGTTTGGAGAACAGCCTAGGGCCTTCAATTAAAATAGTTTTGTCTCTGGTTACTACCGGAATAAACCTGTAAGCAGACAGCTGTTTCATGCCAGCTGAAATTCTAGTCTTGGGTGGGATGGCAGAGGTTTATTACTTCAGATGAGAAACAGGCAGAAACAGATTATATTCTTATGCCAAGTTTCTCTCTTTATTGCCATGGAAGCAAGAAGAGCAATGCAGAACGTGGAAAGCTTTGCGAGCGCACTGTTTCACTCAGACTTTCTGCAAGACATCAGGAGCTGCTCAAGATTTTGCAAACACATTTATGGGAAAATCACGGCTATAGAAAAACTCCTAAAATTAAAACAGAGCTGGAAAAGAATAAAGATAATTTCATTTGTCTTTAAGCTTAGAAGCAGAACCCCTGGGATTTAGCATTCTATAACAACACTGGAAACATTATTAACATTAATAAATAAGCATCTGGATTGACTTGCAGTCTAAATTTAAGTGTCCTAAATATTTTGGCTCAATTATAACTATACTGCTTTTTTCTAAATTCTCAAATGTTTCTTCTGTCCTTAGCTTATACTTCATGTTCTTCTAACTCTTTTAACTTGAGTCTTGTTTTTCATGAAAATGGACCTTGTGGTATAAACGTTTAAGCATCAAATGTCTATAAAAAGATATGAAATTGATAGTGATTTCAGATTTGTACAATGTGGTTCTTTACATACTTATATGCTTTTAATTGGAATCATATAAGCACACTATTTGTTTATCTTTATTTCATATAATGCTTGTGTTATATATAATTTCAAGAGTGCCAGAACTTACCAACAAAGTTTCAGTTAAGCTAAAAGTAAAGCTTCATGCCGTTATAAAGCTTCAGTGCTATTATTTCTACTTTTTAATATAAAATTAGCCAGAGTTAGCCCAGACTGGGATAGCATTAGGGAGAACCCATAAAATGTGGTGGCATAAACCAGATTAAGCCATAATCATGGTCGTTTCACCTGAATTCTCAAATGTATTCAAAAAGCAAGAGTAAAGGTCAGCAAAACACATCTTCACCAAGAAAAGTACAGTAAAACCAATGCCAAATTAAATGGGCCAGTTATAGAGAATTCTACCCACAAACACAATGCTTATACTTAATCTGTTTCTCACCACCTTCATTTGAGAACGTTGGTCTTAGGTCCCTGGGCTGCTGTTCCTGCCTTGAGCTTTTTGTCGTTGCAAGCCAAGGGGTTGCTATGCAAAGTCCCAATGCATGGAACCAGAGTTAATCATTCACAGGCCTTTTTGCCTGAAATAAGATGCTTTTCATTTCCCTTGGCTTATGTGAATAATGAAAAAAGAAAACAAACAAAGAAGATAACTGCACTATGTTAAAAGATAATCCCTTAGCATAACTATTGTCTAGAAGGCTGAGCACCGTAGTCAAGCAAAAATCCAGTCTGCATTCAGTGACTACACTGACATTTATTTATAAGAGATTATGCCGTGACAGAGCTTGAAGTCATTTAGAAATGCTCCCATTCCCCAAGGCCTTCGTTATATTTATATGCAGGAGCCCATATTATTTTTCCTGGTGTTATGGCAACAAGGATTTCAGTGTTTACAGAGCTATCAAGTTCTGACAGGCCAAGCCCGGGACTTTGCATCACTGGCTTGCATTAAAATGGAGCGCAGGACCTGGGGAGCTGAGCTGGAGCTCAGCTGTCTGAACAACTAATACCTGAGCAGAAGAGGGTTAGGAAGCAGGCAAACGGTGCTAATCAACTCACAGAGCCACTTTCCCCCAAGGGAATTTGCCCTCATGATCCTGCGGTTTAAGAAATATATTACAAAGTACGCTGAACCTAGGAAGTCATATTAAACCCAAAAGAAAAACAAAACCCAAATTCCTACTACAATTTTGCACTCTGCGTGGATTTTTTAAAGCTGTGTTGAATACTGTACGTTAGAGTCCTTTATTAGGCCTCTGGAGTCGTGAGAGGGGAAATGAAAATGCAGTGGGTGAAGAAAGGGCAGAACAAATACTCTCTCTGTGCCCACCTTTGGTTTTTAACTGCACAATGGAGAGTAGCCCAGCTTACGTTCACACCTAATTTAACCACTGCCCAGGGCCCGTAGTTTGTAGCATACTCCAGCTCTGAAGCTAATTACTGCATGAAACTGGCTATGAAAGTGTCCCAGGAATATCTGTATCTCACAGACAAAATTATTTTGAGAACTTGCCACTTACTCCACAAAAATAAGTATGTGGAAGCAGGACCTTGCAGTCCATGGTTTTCTACATTGAAGTTGTTTTCCGGAGTTGGCCCAAACTCCTCCATACTCTGACTAGACACAGAGCTAGAAATCATTTTTTTTTTAAGTCATTCCAAACATACTCTTTGGACATCCTGGCTCTAGTTGGAGCAGGAAATGGGAACCACAAAGCTTAACCTCTGATACAATAAACCGCCACCTTCCAGTTCTAGATTTGAGCCAGGGAAATTATCAAATCAGAGTAAAATGAAACAAGGAATTCTAAATCATACTTCTTTTTCTTTCTCTTTCTCTTTCCTTTCTTTATATATGTGTGTTCATAAGGATATTGGTACTTATCTCGTTAAAAGTGTCACACTGAATTGTAGAATGAGCTTCACAAACGTGTCTACTTTTTTTTAGTTTTTTTGAGACAGGGTCTCACTTTGTCACCCAGGCTGGAGTTTAATCGTGAGATCTTGGCTCACTGCCCTCTCAACCTCCCAGGCTTAAGTGATCCTCCCATCTCAGTCTCCCAGGTAACTAGGACTACAGGCAAATGCCACCCTGCCTAGCTAATGTTTTGTATTTTTTTGTAGAGACAGGGTCTTACTATGTTGCCCAGGCTGGTCTAGAACTCCTGGGTTCAAGCAATATGCCCATCTCAGCCTCCCAAAGTGCTGGATTACAGGCATGAGACACCACACCCAGGTAATTTCTTTTTTAATTTGCAGTTTTGTTCTGTTTAAAAGGATAAATATCAAGAAATATGCATATTTCCTAATGCTTAAGGTGAACATTTCAACAAATAATAAACTGAGACTTGCCAAGTGTCATAGACATGTGGGAAAAAGTTTTATTTACACAGTGCGCACTTTCAAGTTATATAATTTCTAATGGCAGAAAAAGCAGTGATAATAATTACGCTACATGTCTTTGTATGTCTTTCTTAATAAACTAGAGCTATATAAGAAAACAGCTAGAAATGGTTGGGTGTGACCACCGGGATTGTCCCCTGGGAAGTGGCCAGTAGGGACAGGCTGCTTCACAAGACTCACTGGAAGCCTGGGAGAGGCACATGTCTTTGTGCCCCAGACACACACCAAGCCTATTCTCTCATTAGCAACAGTGACCACTGTTTACAGTATCTGTTGCTATCAGAGACTTTACCTTTCTTTTCTTAAGAGTTAATCTTGCTCACAGTTTGTCAGCTCTTTTGGGATCCTGGCACACAAACTAGTTTATCTGTGGCTGCTTTTCCCAGCAGCCAGAGATTAAAGGATATCATTTAAAGCTGTGCTTTAGCTGTCTTTTTATTTCTTTTAGTCTGCTCACTTCAGTTTACCACACAGCAGCTGCAAAGGCAGCTGATGTTATCGTCATCACAGTGGTCTTCATCAACATCATCAAGAGAACTTGTTACAAACACAATTAATTGCCCAGATATCTCTCCTAAGTACTCTCAGGAAAATTACATAAGCTTAGGTCTTACCACAAACTCTGTAAATTCATCATTCATTCATTTGTCATGTATTTCTCAGCTTTTAACTGTGTATGGCACTGTACACTACACTAAGGATACAGTAATATACAAGGTAAATGAGGTCTTTATCCTGATTGTGCTTAAATTCTATGGGGAGACAGTCAAATACAAATAAATCAACAAGTAATACAAATGCTGGTGTCAACTATGCTAAAAAGGAAATTAGGATGTTATGATGAGAATAATATAGAATATATTTAAATATTGGTGCTTAAAAACTTCTTCCCTGAATGACATTTAAGAAGGGACCTGTAGGGCCAGGCGCGGTGGCTCACGCCTGTAATCCCAGCACTTTGGGAGGCCAAGACGGGTGGATCACGAGGTCAAGAGATGGAGACCATCCAGGTCAACATGGTGAAATCCCATCTCTACTAAAAATGCAAAAAATTAGCTGGGCATGGTGGCACGTGCCTGTAATCCCAGCTACTCGGGAGGCTGAGGCAGGAGAATTGCCTGAGCCCAGGAGGCGGAGGTTGCGGTGAGCCGAGATTGCGCCATTGCACTCCAGCCTGGGTAACAAGAGCGAAACTCCGTCTCAAAAAAAAAAAAAAAAAAAAGAAGGGACCTGTTAGGTAGGAAAACAGTTCTGAATTAATAAACCAAAAGCATTCTATTTGTGGTAAACCTAATGCTGCATAGGGGTCTTAATGGCAACTAAGTTAGATAAAATATTTCTGGCACATTTTATATCTCTCAGTTTCCCAGAAGATTGAACTGGTTTATTTGGGGGAAGACTTCTGTCATACTCCAAAGGATCATTAATTCCATCTTTTGGCCTCATTCATATTTTGGCTCCCAAAACAGATCAGGACCTTCCTTTACTGAAGGAAGGTATAGAAAAGTGGTTTTTTCCCTAATTATTATTATACTGTAAATTCTAGGGCACATGTGCAGAACGTGCAGGTTTGTTGCATAGGTATACACATGCCACGGTGGTTTGCTGCATCCATCACCCCGTCATCTACATTAGCTATCTCCCTGGCAGATTCATGAAGGATTTCCCTCAGTATCCATCCTGAATTTACATACAAAATAAACTATATGGTTCATATACACGATCGCTAATGAGAACATCTGGGACTTTCATCAGATTTTTAAAGAGCTCTGTGAACCCCCATAAAAGGAGATAGGCACTCAGACAGATGAGTCTAAAGTAGTTCATTGCTCTGGAATCTTTCAAAAAGTTGACTTGGACTTCTTTTTTCTCCATAATAGACCAAGCTTCAGTTTCTTCATTCCACATACTTTTTAAAAACGTGCCTACAATCCAACATTTGTGTTTAATTACCTATTTCGAGATCATAATAACATGTGCTCTTGAAATATCAATAAAGCAAATATGGGAAAATGACTTTTGTTCAGTTGCCAGCTGCCACCCAACAACCTCTCCATGACTATTCCTGAGACGTATCTAACAGGCTAAGAGGAAGTCACTTGAGGCTTCTGGTCCTCAGGCTCATCTGGAAAGATAATCCCAAGAAGCACTGACAACTGTGAAGATGTCGGTTGATGCAAGACCATCCTCTATCCCTAATCCAGCCCAAGAGGAAGATGATTGGATGCAGGTTTCAAGACCTAGAGTAATTAATCATCATCAGAATCACCTGAGGCTTTTTAATCTCAATTATGCAGATTGGTTATGTGAGTGTAGGAATATGGGTGCGAGTGTACTACCTTTTTTAATTTCTTTTGTGTGCTCAAATTTTTTCCATAATAGAAAAAGGGAAAAAGTAACTTTGCACAAGCTAATATTACTTTTATCTACACCTCTCCACTTGCTCACATGGTTATGATTCAAAAGATTTGCAATAGAGGCACACACGTTTGTATATTTTGAAAATAGAGAAAAATATTCTCATGTGATTAAGATAGGCACACCTTGAAAACCATAGCCCTAAGAGGAAGCGGAGGACAAGGGCAACAGTTTCCCACATATAAAGCCCTTTCAGTGTCCCCCCCGCCAGTATCAACTCTTCTTTTCCCCTCCCAGGAGAGCAAAGAGTCATTTTAGGGGCAGAATACCTGGACTGAACCCTCTGTTGTTTCCAGTGAAAATTATCAGTTTCTGATTTAAGCTTCTAATATTTAGGCATATATATTATATATATTATATACATGCACATAATTAGATAAGCCTAAATATTGTATATTTATGTGTATACATACATATGTACACATATATATAAACCTGGTGACAGAGTGATACTCTCAAAAAAAAAGCACTTTTGCATGGCTTATTCTCTTTCTTTCCTTCTCATTAAATTACTGGGTTCTCCTGGAGACATGCCCTTAATTAGTTACCTGCATAAGAGTCATCATCTAAAAGGATTCATTTTGGGAAGCCAGCCTGACACCCAACTCTTCCATTTGTAGCTCAGGGATATCTTGATGAATGTATCTCACTCCTGAGTAAATCAGACAGTGCATTGCAAAGAAGAATAACAGTAATTCTAAAATGATGCAAAAGAAATCAGTATTAGTATGTCTCAGAAAGTTCAAAGTTCAAGCTCCCATGTTGCAGACAAGCTACATATATAGCCAGGAGTTTGAGAGTAAAATGAGCAACATAGTGAAACTCCATCCCTACAAAACAAAATTGCGTAATTATCCAGAGGTAGCTGCTTAGGAGGACTGCTTAAGCCCAGGAGTCCAAGGCTGCAGTGAGCTCTGATTGTGCCACTGCACTCCAGCCTCATGACAGAGTGAGACCTATTCTCAAATGTCTCTACAATCACCAATGAGACC